CCCCCCCCCCCCCCGAGTCAGACACAACTAGACTGAATGTCAGGGGGAAATCTTTACCTTTCACTGTATCCAACAGGTCAAGCTCTCCAATGGCTTAAGGGGAAGAAACAATGAAGAATTTGTTAGAAAATGGGAACTTGTCTTGGGGTATTTAAAAAAAGAAGACAAAAATAGATTATGAAAAAGCCACACAAGGAATTTGTTAATGTAGATATAAAGATAGTAGTTCCATATGACATGGTGTTGGAAGTCATGGGTGGGCGTTTACGGGTGGGAATGGGGTGGTGGTATTGGAGAAATAATATGTATATCATGATTGTTGAATTTTGAAGATTGTGTTTTTTTCTTCATATATCACAGTGTGTGTGTGTGTGTGTATGGTAAAGGTGCTTCCTTGAAATTAAGTCTAATCATGTCCGACTCTATGGGGTGGTGCTCATCTCCATTTCTAAGCCGAAGAGCCAGCATTGACCATAGACACCTCCAAGGTCATGTGGCCGGCATGACTGCATGGAGTACCATTACCTTACTGCCAGATCAGTACCTATTGATCTACTCACATTTTCATGTTTTCGAACTGATAGGTTGGCAAAAGCTGTGGCTAACTGTGGGAGCTCACCCTATCCCATGGATTCGAACCACCAACTTTCTGGTTAGCATATTTAGCAGCTCAGTGGTGGGTTGAACTGCTGAGCTGCTGAATATGCTAACCAGAAGGTTGGTGGTTCGAATATTTATTTACTTACTTACTTACTGTATTTATATACTGCCTTTCTCAGCCTTTCGGCGACTCATGAACATTATATATATGAATCATAGAATTGGAAGAGACTGCATGGGTTATCCAGTCCAACCCCCTGCCAAAATGCAGGAAAATCACATTCAAAACACCCCCAACAGAAAGCCACCCAGCTTCTGTTTAAAAGCCACCAAAGAAGGAGTCGCCACCACACTCCGGGGCAGAGAGTTCCACTGCTAAACAGATCTCACAGTTAGAACGTTCGTATGTTCTTCCCTGTAGTTTGAAGCCATGGTCCTGTATCCTAGTTTGCTAGTGCGCAAACATACACACACCTTAAAAAACACTTAAGTGTGATTATGTTTTCTATTATATTGTGATAGTGGTATTACAGTAGCTGCAATATGGAATTAATGAAGTATACGTATTGATAGAATTGTCCCATGTTAATACTATATTATATTACTATTTTGGATACATTTTAAAAGACAGCCTATCTTCCTTAGTCACTACAGGATATGATCTGAATAGTTTTGTTTGGAGACCCAAAGGTTGATGACCACTCAGAAAATAAACAATGCAAAAGAACTCAAGGAAGGAACTCCAGCCTGAGATCCTGTTAGCAATCAGAATAGAGAAAATGTGGTTGGAGCAGTGATCCAAAACTTTGGTCTTCCAGTTCCTTGGGACTTCGACTCCCAGAAACTCCATCCAGTTTGACCAACTGTCAAGGTTTCTGGCAGCTGAAATCCTAAATTCCTGGAAGGTCAAAGATTGGGAACCATTGAATGAGAAGGACAATGAGTCTGATGTGCCTAGTATAAAATAGCCTTGCCAATTTTATAATTGTCTTATCTTTCTCTGTCCTTTCCCCTTATTCCCAAACTCTAGGTTCCGCTGCATTGTCCATCCATTTAAACCCAAGCTCACCTTCTTGCAGGCACTCAATGTCATTGGCATCATTTGGATCCTGGCAATTACCATCATGTGTCCCTCTGCTGTCATGCTCACTGTGGCACAGCAAGAGGGTAGCTACTTGGTCTGTGGTGACAACCAGAGCCTGGTGTACCCCTTGTATTTCTGCTATGAGGCCTGGCCAGAGAGTGAAATGCACACTGTCTACACCACTGTGCTTTTTGTCCACATCTATGTGGCCCCGTTGAGCTTCATAATCTTCATGTATGGCAGGATTGGATTTAAACTCTACATGTCCTCTGGTCCAGTAAGCCAGCACCACGTGGTAAGCGAAACTCAGCGCAAGACAGTAGTTTCCAAGCGGAAGCTGAAGGTCATTAAAATGCTTGTCCTTGTGACACTGCTGTTCATGCTCTCCTGGTTGCCCTTGTGGACACTCATGCTGTTCTCAGACTATACAAACTTGGATGAGGAGGACATCAACCTTTTAGCTCGCCATGGATTCCCTTTTGCGCACTGGCTAGCCTTCTCTAACAGTAGCGTCAACCCCATCATCTATGGTTACTTCAACGAGAACTTTAAGAAGGGCTTCCAGGCAGCCTTCAAACTTCAGAACTGCTCCAGAGAAATGGTTCCTCAAGAAGTATATGCTGAGAAGACAACTGTCACTACCAATGGCTTTGGTGCCAGGAATAAAATCCTCACCAGTGGAGAGTCTTCTGATTCAATCTGCTTGAAGAATT